AAATAACACAATTAGAAAATTGTAGAGCAGTTTGTTTCTTAAATGTTCTAGAAAACATATTCCAGAAAAAGTTAATAATTTTCGAGATAATGAGTGTACGTATAGATATGATAGGTACCTATTATAGCTCTATTGGTATATATGGAATTCTGTAGGTTAAATATTTTTATCTTAACACAGACGTTCAAACCGTTACTGCTGAACTTGAAATACATTGGATAAAACTGAAAGGAAATAATACATTCGTCTATTCGTCTATATGGTTTTGTATTTTTATATAAAATTCAAATTTTTATGAAGTAAAATGTACGGTATAGAGACGGTATGTCTCGTCTTCTTGGTTAATAACAGAAAAAAAAACACAACGTACAAGCACGGCAATGTGCGAGAGCCTAGTATTTATTTATAACCTATTAATTTTGTGTTTGCGCGTCGATAGAAACATAGATTAAATATACATGGAAGATGGAAAGAACGAGATGTTTTTTTGGGGGGGGGGGAAATATCCCATGTTTCGCATATTTGCGTTGCAAAGTGTCCGTCAATAAGCGACGACTGCCGAAATCGGGCGAAACTCGCTTCCCACTACAAAATGTTCCATTATTGTTATTCACTATCCCTACCGTGAAAATGTTTCTAACGGTCATTTATCTAGGCGTCCACCTGAAAGCAATTGGAATTGTAGCCGGGGAGGGATGTCAATATCGACCAAATTATAGATAAAAAATCCCATTGCTATCGATTACGATAAATATCGTTATTTTGTTATCGATAAATAACTTTTATATCCTAACTTCCCAACTTCTCACTTACAACGGTGGCTTACCCATTATGTGAAGTGTGTCCGTTTTTTCACGGATTCTTTGGTTGAAATATCAGCTTGTCACATACCAGGGGGTCAAACGTTAAATAACGTAAAGTCAGCGTGCTCCAGCAATACACACATTGTATACAATGTGTATTTTAATTTGGTTAGAATTATTATTATTGATTGGTGCAAATGAAAAAAAAATATATTGATAAGAGATGAGATTACGATAAATAAATAATAATAATATATTTCATATATCTATGGACACTACAACACACGTAGTTAAAACACGATTCACGAATCAACCGATGTGGCGATAATGTGACGACCGTTGACAGCTCTTGCTCCCGGTCATAACGTTTTCGGCATCGCTTCTGCTTGGTTGTCCTAGTCACTTGCCTGCCCTTACGTTAATTTATGCGTCGTTGTTTTCACTGCAGTTCAGAGAATTTTTCGGTTGTAAAATTAAAGGTAAATCACATTTTCCATGAAATTTAATAATTTTAAGTTAACGGACAATAATCATAAATAATTAATAAAAATTTTAAAGTCTATTTTTTTTTCATGTGGTTCACAAACCTCGTGGCGGTAACATCCCATGAAAAAAGGGGATTTTTCTCTGGGAATTCTCTGAGAAACTATGTCGATTATATATAATATTATGTAGGTTTTTTTTTTAAAAAAAAAAAAATTATTTTATCTAACTACGGTTAACCGGGCTCTATTCAAATTTATGATTTTTCGAGTTTTTATTTAGCAGAATATATACTATAAATTATTATTATATTATTAATCTATCCTATATCCAGTTGTGTTTTGGAAAGTACATATGTACAGATGATCACAGTGTACACCCATTTACCATTTGGTGAATACTTGTTAGCGTACAGCTTGTACAGAGTACACGGCATGAGATTTACATAACCTATAATATATTCTGTGGGTGTAATTTTTTATTATATGCCATTTATCAATATTATCTTTAAGTTTTAAGTATTAAATATTAAGAACTGTGTAACAAATAGCTATTACTACGTATTGATACATTTTTATGATTTATGTGAAAGTATCATATTGTTACTCATTAAAATTTCTTTTTCTACCCAAGTAAAAAGTTTTCAAAAATAAAAATAAAATATTTTATTAAAAAATAAACATTGTTTGAGTGCATTTTGTCATTTTATAATTAGACTTTTTATATTTGATAGTAAACTCCATATCAAATTTTTTTGGTTTTTTGTTGAATGTTTGTGCGAGTTTATCATTTTATAAGCTTTGATTTGATAGAAAAAAAATTCGTTAAAAGAATTAATTTAAATCTGACCTGTGAAATAGTTTTCAATATATAGGTAGGTACACAAATAAAAAAGTACAAAACCATCGAAAAAATTGTATTTTCTTTAAATTTGCGAATTTTTGATAGTTTCAGAACAATTTTTTAATTTTCAAAGGGGTTTTCGAAATAATTGGGAAAACCCATAAAAGACGAAATGTAAGATTTTTTAAATTCGGTTTAAAATATTCGTAGACTTGAAACGTTGACAAAATACTAACATTTAATTTTTCAAGACATGGTAAAACTTTCAGAACATTTGAGCAGTTGCTGAGCTATTTATGGCCATTTAATTTTGCCAGTTTTGTATATACCTTTTATTTGGTAAGTACTTTGTAGTTAAATTGTTAGGTTTAACAGAAATGCTTGAATATTTGATAGGAGGTTCATTATAAGTTGTACTTAGTAGTCAAAAATAAAATTTATTTCTTTGTGGTATTTTTTTTTTTAAAGAGTTTTAAAATCTAATTTTGACGAAAATCGTTAATATTACGGCCTTTCAAAACAAGTACAACCGAGCTTCGTTTCGAATCGTTTTTCGTTATCAACGGTTTATCGTTGGTTACAGATATAAATAAAATACATTTTTTGTACATATCCAATCTTCAACAGTGGCCGCACCCGTCTTTAGTATCGGCTCTTTTTTTTTTTTTATTTTCTATGTTTATATTTTAATAAAATCGGCCGTTTATTTGTGTGCGGTAAAAAAATCGTCATTTATGGTTATCGTGGAAAAAAAATAAATATTATCTAATATTATTTTTATTTTTTGTTGAGTATGCAGTCAATAGTGATATTATAATGTAAATATTATATGGAAAAAAAAAGTTGGGTTTTCCAAACTCATATTATTATATTATCGTGAATATTCTAGTGTAGCCATAAATAGCTATATATATATATATATTATTGTTTGACAATAAGATGTACTTTTATGGGAAAAACACTTTTCGGCAAAAAAAAAACCGTTGGATTTTTTTTTGTACTAATTTAAAGATTAATTTAATAAGAGCGAATTTGCTTATCTAATTTATAAAAGCTGATTATTAGATAAATAGATAATTCTGTGCGTTGCGTTTATGCCGGATCCATAGACCTTGTAATAATTAACAAGAAATAATTACACTCCAACACGGGCGTAGAAAGATACAGAGTGCGTTGTTTTTATTAAACTACCAATTTTTTTTTCAAAGTACACCAACATGTATTCAACTTTAACAATATAACACATTTAACAATTTAACAATATATAATAATTTATAATTTATAATATGTTTTAAATAATGTGTCAAGTGAACAGCATATGTTTGTTGTGTTTTTCAATTTTACATAATATTGTCACATGAAAAAGAGTAAAATCAATGTATAAAAATAAAGAACTTAAAAAATCTATTTATTAATAAAAAATATTGTGAATTATGAATAATAACAAAATTATATTAAATAGAAAACTATACATGTTAGGGGCACTAAGTAAAAAATTATATTTTATCATATATTATTATACAATTCATAACTCATAGTGTACCTTCTTATATTACAATATATATAATTCAAAATATCTTCAAGTTAAAAAAAAAAATTCCAACTGCATCATAAATATATCATAAGACGAGTACAATAAATCATTTTTTAAATTATCTATGTATAACATATTGACAATATTATTTTATATTACTGTAATACGTTTATCCTTTTTTGAAAAATGTTCAACAATGAGCTGAGTCAATTAAATTAGTAATACCTCTTTCTATACATAAAATATTTAAATGACTAAATCTTTTTTTGTCCCATACTACTTCTTTACCAATGTTTAACACGTCTCATTGAGGAACTTATTGGTTACTGCCATTTGTAACAGCTTATACATATTTGGATAAATATGTTTTATACATATCTATATATTGACTTTTAAATAATTATATGCAACTACGATTTCAAACCTTAAACTGTCAATTGCAATATTCATAACATCCTGAAAGAAAAAAGATTATGATAAATCATAATTATTATAAATCTTGCTACAAATAATTAACTGACATAAAAATTATTTCAGATGATAATAAATGTTGGTATTATATTCAAATTTATTAAATAATGCATTATTTATCAGTTACTTTTATTACTTTATAACCATCAGTGAAGTACAATGAATATGTATAGTCCAAATTATAAAATGAATCAATTGATTTACCATTAATAAACTTTTATCTGAAAATCTGTATTTTAAATTGGTAATTACAGTATCAGTGATTCATATCTATGTTGTTTTTTTCCAAAAGGTTCCAACTAAAGTTGATTCTTCATGTCCTGTTCTTGTGGTCATTGCAAGGACATAATCAGGAAGATTTTTTGGTTCCCTTCATTGGTTTTGATCCTTTTTACCAAATAAATGTAGAAGTTGATAATATAAATTTTAATATGAAAACATATGAAACAAAATAAAAAATGAAATCAACCCTTTGATGGAATTTGTAAACATAGATCATGTTTTTTAGCTGTATGCATTATTTTTCTCCACAATTTAAAAATGAATCATCAAATTTTTTAAAAATGTATTTAATTACATATTTAAACATACAAAAATTTGCATATTTATTTTGTAAAGTATTACCATTGGTTAAAAATACTATAGATTGCTTATTACTGCATATTACTTGTTGGCCAACACATCTTTTTTCTGAAAATGTCAAAATAAAAATTTTTACCACTACCATTAAATGATAACCATTACAACCTTTACAGTAGATCACACATAACAACTGTACCTTAAATTTTATTATAATTTTTGATACATTTTGTAATAAATTTTATAGATCTCTTCAAGAGGAACAGACTAATCAAGCTTCTGTTAAAATGAGTGGTCTACCCAGTAAAGCCACAACTACACCACTAGTAGCAGAAATATTTGAAAAAATATTTGCCACACAGTTGGAGAAACATGATTATGAAGAAGTGTTAGAAGAACATGATAATACTTATGAAAAGGTACCTGCGAAATTGGATGAAAAAATATATGTTATTGCAAAACAAGATTCTTCAACTGATTATATAATTGGTCTACTTGAATATGTATACAGAGAAGACAATAAATTAATGGCACACATATCATTACTTACGCATGGTATTCATACTGTACTTAGCAGTACATCAGAAGTTAAAGAACTATTTCTTCTTAACAAGTGTATTAATATTTATTGTTATGATATAATTAAGATAATAAATGTTAAGTATATAAATCCATGTGAAAATAAGATGCAAAGAAATTATCTTAATTGTGAAAAAAGTGGTACTTGTTTTTACACGTTTAAACTGAATGAAGAATTTTCTAGATTTGAAACTTTAGATAATTCTGATATTGCATTTGATAAAAAAAAAATAAAACAAAAATGTTCTAATTGCATAAAGGAACATTTAAAAATTAAATCAAAAACTCCACAAGTCCTGGATTTCATTGAAGAATACAATGGCATATATTATTTTAAAAATTTCAATTTATGCAATGAAGAATATAAAATAGGAAGTTTTGTTTATTTACAACCTGGGTTTCATTTAAAGGCAACAGATGAAGATAAAAATAATATTGAACTGGATGAAGAATATGATGATGATGATGATGATGATGATGATGATGATGATGATGATGNGTGTTTTGGTCAGAGGATACATTTGATGTTAATTGTCTTATTATAGTTGGAAAATGTTATGTAGCCAACATTATGAATATAAGGGATCCTGTTACTTGGTCTGCTCAAGGACCAGATAGGTTTTATTTTAAATATGGATATAACAGTTATACAAAAAAGATCATTTCAGAATATTCACTTTCTTGTGATGCAAAATTAACCGGGAATGAAGTAGCTGTTGAATATAACTATGATTATGTCAATGAAAACAAAAAACAATTTATTCCATTGTATAAGAAAATTAGTCCACTTAAAGGTATGGACCTCTTTGCGGGTTGTGGAGGATTCAGCAAAGGATTAGAAAACAGTGGATCAGTCATGACAAAATGGGCAGTGGAAATAGAACATAATGCTGCAAAAGCATTCAAATTAAATAATACTGATGCAATAGTCTTTAATGATGATTGTAACAAATTATTGAAATTAGTTTTATCTGGAAAAAGAACAAATGATAAAAATCAAAAAATACCAGAAAGAGGTGAAGTAGATATCATATTTGGAGGCCCCCCTTGTCAGGGATTCAGTGGAATGAATAGATTTAGTTATACAGAAAAATCAATGCGTTTGAACGCATTAAGTGCAACATTTTTGTCTTATATAAATTTTTATAAACCAAAATTTTTATTAATGGAAAATGTCAAAAATTATGTAACATATGATGGAGGCAACTTTCTTTCTTCCACTATCAAATGTCTTTTACAGATGGGATATCAAATCTCCTTTGGCATCCTTCAAGGAGCTAATTTCGGTATCCCTCAAAATAGGAGAAGATTGATAATAATGGGAGCAGCCCCTGGTGAAACTTTACCATTTTATCCAAAACCCAAGCATGTATTTCATAAAAAATACTCCGGTTTAGATATAAAATTTGGGGATAAAATGTATAAAACCAATTGTGAGTATGAAGAATCTGCTCCTATGAGAGCTGTTACAATTTATGATGCAATCAGTGATTTGCCGATAATATCCAATGGAGCAAATAATGACATTTTGGAATATCAAAACCAACCAATAACATCCTATCAAAAATCAATGAGATATCCGAATAAACAATATTCAAATTCAATACTTACTGAACATATTTGCAAATTAATATCTCCCTTAATGGAAGGGAGACTTAGTTTATTGTTTTTTGGTCTAGACTGGCGATACTTGCCCAATATACAAGTCGAGCTGTCAGATGGCACAATAACCCAAATCCTTAAATACAATCATTATGACCAAAAGAATGGGAATAGCCCAGATGGGGCCTTCCGTGGAGTCTGTAATTGTGTGACAACTTGCTTGAAAGAATGTAAATCAAAAAAAAAACAGAATAACACACTAATACCCTACTCTGTCAGCCACACAGCCAATAATAACAACAATTGGGCGGGTGTGGTCGGAAAATTAAATTTCGACGGAATCTTCCCAACTATTACCCAAAATACAGATCCTCTAGGAAAACAAGGTACTGTTTTCCACCCTGAACAATCACGTATTACGAGTGTCAGAGAATGTGGTAGAGCACAAGGATTTGATGATGAATTCACATTTTATGGCCCTATTAATGCCAAGCATTCTCAGATCGGAAATGCTGTGAGTCCTCTTATGGCTAAGGCTATAGGTGAAGAAATTGTGAAAGCTGTAATCAATAAATCTGAAAAATAAAAACAAAATTCATTCAATATGTCTATACTGAAATCTCTCAAGTGAGTATTATAATTTACAAATATTATATTAATATTTTAAATTTGTGTGTCTTTGTTTTAGATATTTCACAAATAGAACTGTATTAAAAACAAAGCCTTTGTAATGATGAAAACAAATTGTTGGCATTAATATTGCAAAATGTCTACCGAATCTCATATCCTATTTGGAACAAATTTAGCTAGAAAAGGTAGAAAACTACTATAAAACATAATGAATAACTGGCCATTATTGTTGATAAATGTAACAGTTAAAGACATATCATTACTACATTATTAACTGGGATGGATTTTTACAAGTATTATGAAACAATTATGAGTAATAGATGTTTGACTTTGTAGATTTTTATTTCATTTTATATTTTATTAATTTGTTTACCTTTATTAATTTATTGTATTCTATTAGTTATTGTAACTATGTAGTCCTATTTAATTGCTATCTTTAATATTTACTAATACTTATATAATCTTGTAAATTGCCTTCTGGCATAGAAATAAAATAAAATAAATTTTAAATAATAAGTATATACATGCAAATTTAATATATATTTTTTAAAATAGAAAAATAATATTTAATGTATTAAATCTTAATTTTAACAATATTCCACTAGTTGTGTTTCTAAAATGAGCAACTTATTATATAATATATTTAAATTAGATTTATTGTCATAACAAGGTTGAACATATTTTTTGTAAGAGTTTAATTTACTTTAATGTACAGTATCTACACAATATTATTTAAAAAATATTATAAATTTGAAGTTTCCAATTGTTAATGTCAATGCTGTACTCACACATGATGTATGTTTTTAATATGAATCATTACTGTCCATCCTCCAGCCACTCTATTATGTCATTTGATTCTGTTATTAACATAATATTTTAAGTTCTTCAATAATTTTACCTCTGAGATACATTGTATTTCTTCATAAATTAATGATTAGTAATTCAGATTTACTTTGATGTATTTTATACAAATTTATACAGTAAATCTAGTCTGTCAAAAAAAAAATAGTTTTTAGACCTTCACTTTGACAAGATTGTGAGACTTTGGATGGTCCGATTTTAATCCCGTAAAAATAATAATATTTATTAATATCTCCTCTGGAGAACGGTCAGAGCACTTAAAGTTCGAAATTTTGATAATACTATAATAACATAAAAATTCAGTTTTTACAAGTTTGTTCATTTCATGTCTATTGAATTAATTCATATTTCAAAAAAATTCTCCGACCTTTCTCTTGAGGAGATGCTAAGAAATGTTAGGATTTTTACAGAATTAAAATCGCTCAAACCCAAGTCTCACAATTTTGTCACCGCCTTAATTCGTGAGTAAGAACTAGGTAATATAATAATAAATTATACAATAATATATTAATATTCCCAATGATAAGGTTTTTCTAAAATATATCTAATTGCATATTGTACGTCCAGTCCGTCATAAGCCTCAATTATTTATTCATTGATGTGATTACGACTAATCAGTCACCGTGAGTATTACATACATTTTTATTTACCTTCTTACAATATTTAAAAATGAACGGTTGATCCGCGTTATGATAGAAATTTACCATTGAGAGATGGACTGAATGAGGTTAACTCAGTGGCGTGACGAAATCAAATATTTTCAGAGGCGAGAATTTCATTCCACCTACCTACCGACGAACCCGTGACATTCATTTGCTATACATTTACTCCACATGAAGATTTAACACTGCATTTTTATTACTTTTTTAAAAACTGCCATATCACTTAGCATATAGTACATGTAGATCCCCTAAAAAGTCAGAGACGGCCGCTTCTCTATTATCCCTTTCGCCACGCCACTGGGTTAACTAATTATCCATTCTTTTTTCTTTTTTTTTCATTGAACATATTTTACAGTTTTGAATTATATACAATATAAATATTAAAACTAAATAGTTGTTTATCATTACAATGTTAATATTGTATTATACGAGGGCGTATTATGTATGTACCTATGCGAAGTAAATTGTCTTTTGTATTTAAAGAATATTAATAAAACTTATATTATATCAATTATTATAATATTATTATTACATTTTTTTTATCCTACAAAATAGTAGATAAAAATATTTGTATTACACTGTAGACAGTATTATATAACTGTAGAAACAAACAAGATATTATTATTTATAATATTACTGTCATCAAATTAGATAAACCCAAAAATAACTACCGTTAACAATGCAACACGCGACGGTACCTATTACCATTGATTACGTGCTTCGGCGATGTGGAAAGTGGTGGTACACGCTTTGAAGTGCACTCACACTAATGTTCATTTACTTTTCACACACTGACACGACCCGTTTATCCTTGCAAAATAAATTGCCTAGTTCTCACTCCTTAGAAAATGACCGACTGGAACCACCTATTACCATTGTTATTATGGTAATATATTATGAGACATGAGATTAGAGATATTCGGGGGAAAGCATTTTCGAGTTATTATAACTCGGTTATATCTTAACAATAAATCCATAAATCCATCCCTATTATCAGCTCTTTATATTTTTTTACAATGGTACTTTATTTTTTTCTTTACACTGTAGACCACTTTTATCCTAGAAAACTTGCTCCGATGTATAAATGTAGCACCATTTCTGAAAGAAAATTTTAACTACATAATAAATATATAGGGTCATTTTTTGATTTTCGAAACGGTTTTGAAAAGAAAAAGGATTAACCGGCGAAAAAAATACGATTTTTTCACGATTTCGTTACTTTAAATAAGTACTTATCACGTTTTCTAGCACAAATATGGCTACAATTGAAAAACGACAAGAGACCTTTTTTTGTTGAATTATTAATCTTGTTTTTAATGATTGTATGATTTTCGAATTAGTTATCATAATAATTGAGAAAAAACTTAGGAAGGTTAGATAAAAAAAAATTAAGGCACTTCAAATTATGTATTACCGAATTGCGCTCGGAATCGTCTTTCGTCAGCAATGGTTTATCGTTGCTTACAGACATAAGTGAGATAACCTTATGTATCCCACATTGCCCACTACCCGCCTACAACAGTGGCAGCACTCATCTCCAGTATCAGCTCTTTTTTTTTTTTCAATATATTTTTTCAAAAAAGTGACCCTACTCACATCCAATATGGAATGGATAATGTCGCTTGATCATTTTGCACTATACATTTATTCACACAACTGTTGGAGCGCGCAGTCATAACATGGCACCGCCGGGCATTACCAAAGGCGATTACGTGGCCAGCTTATCGGAGGTCGTCAACTTATCGGAGCCGCCACTGTCTAGCCTGCCGTCCACTCCTTGCCTCGCCCGGACTTATTGTTATTCACTGTCGTCGCATACGGCGAGTGCCGTCCGTCGTCTGCCATCCATCGTTCGTGACATGGGTGATCGTCGTCACCGCGCACCCTTTTTTTTTTATTTGCCGTCGCTCTTTTTGTGCCGCTGTCGCGTGTATAGACAACCCGAGAGTTATACGGGTTGTCCGGTTAACGGATCGTGATTTTTAAAACCCTACTGAAACCCTTTGCCGCCGCTGTCTGCCGTTTACGTTAGAACTGTCGGTGTGACCTACTGCTGTCGACGCGTGCCTAATAACTTTCAATTTTGTACGGTAACGCGTGGTGTGGCGACAATATCGGCGTACTGTGCCTTTAACAGTAGTCCAAATTTCCGTGGTCGTGCCCACGGTATGCAGCCGTTGCCACATCTTCGAGGATACGTTGAGGTGCCATACTTAAAAATCGGAACAAGATTTCTGGTAGAAAAGTTGTGCACAGATAAACATCATTGTGAAACCATTAGCTTCTTCGCTTCACTCAGAATCTAAAATGCATTTTTACTTCAGTATATATTTTTTGTCGCTGAGTGTATAAACATTTTCTTACAATTATTAATTTTTCCATTTTTTGTTATTTATTGTTTGTCATTTCCACAATTTTACACCAACTACTTTTTTATGAGTAGTTATTACTTATTACTGATTAGTTATTACTAATGTCAAATTGCATTGTATCTAGTTTTAACACAAGACCACAAGTCATAATTATTTATAAATTATCATTGATTATTATGTTTTATTTTATGATTGATAAAATAAATCACAACATATTAATAATTTCAAAGTTCAATGGTTAAGGAATTGTAAATATTTTGTTAAGTCGGTTTTGATCGTTTTTATCAAATTGTACATAAATTGTCAAATGTAAAAATGTTGTTTCTATATTTTAAGTCTTTATTTTATTTAAAAAATACTGCAAGAAATTACCAAATAAATTCTCCATGCAATGTCTTAATGAACCTAAGTCTAGGTAAAACTAAAAAAAAATCAATTTTTTCTCTTTCAACTCTAAATGAATTATCATTGCTATTATAATTAGTTTTTTGATAAATTTTCAAATTATATTTTGTTTTTTATTTTTCGTGTATTATTAACACATTATATTATTATTGTAATATTTTAACTACTCACAATTCACGTACAAATACTAAACTGTTCTGTTATATATTATATTATTGTAAATTGGAATAAATTTCCGTTAATAAAGATTATTATTATGATTATTATTATCACACCAAAAACACTTCATTATAACTCCGTTTTTTAAAAAAAGCAAAGTCGACAAAAATTTAATTTAGTAATAATTAAATCTTTGAAAGACGTGATATAATATGGAAACTAAGTAAAATGCCATTTTATAATATTACAAATACCTAAGACGACAAATAAGATCAATTGTAAAACTAAATACTTAGTCAACGTATAGTTTAACTACTTGACAGGACGTGTAAGTATACTTAAATAAATACAAATAATTTAACAAGTTTCTATATTATATCATGTCTTTTAAAGATTTAACTATTACTAAATTAAATTTTTTTTTACTTGGCTTTTTTTTAAAACGGAGTTATAACGAAGTGTATTAGGTGTGATATCAGCTATTCTTTTTATAAAAAACCGTCACGATTTTAATTGACTTTGTTGAACCTGAAGATGAATTTAGATCATTTTGTTTTCTTTATCATATATTATTATTTTTAGTTATTATTTATTATAGATAATAATAACAATAATAATAATAATCCAGCTAGCATCGCTGGCCTCCTGTTGTTAGATCTTACATTTTCAATTGTAACTAGTTTATTTTTTTCTAAAACTATATTGTAAACATTTTTTCCACTTAACAGAGTGTCCGGCATCGATGTCGCCGCAGCAACGAGAGTAGATATTTTACGATGTTTTCGTCGAATACTAAAAATCGGACTTGAAAGTACTTGAACATTTTTGGTTGGAACTTTTTTTAATCCATCTAACGGTTAGATGGATTAAACTGTTAGATTCTAACCAATCTGCTTGCGAGTTCCCCTGTTGCCCACCTGTACAATATTTCTGATCGATTGTGACCAATATATGACCATATACGACTTTATATGGTTCAGCCATTTGCCCTGTAGAGTTGGCCTATGAATCAATAAAAATTAATACGGTTTTTCAACGGTACAACTTGGTTTCCTAATATTATATGTTAGTGGCTATTTATTTATATTTATAGTTATACGGTATTTATTTTTTACTTAGCTTCGCGCCACTGCGACCACTATGACCACTCCTCTCCACACGATCATATATTTAGTATTTTCAGCATTTATTTCTAGACCTAATTTTTTGGTCGTATCCAATCAATTTTCCGCTTGCTTAATGAGATTTTCCTTACTTTCCATCAATAATACTCGTCTACGTGGGTCAATATTTGTATTATGCAACCATCCAAACGTATTTCATTATTCTCAACATAGTTCCCCCTGATGATTTTTTCCAAAACTATATATTAAATAGTATGGGTGAAAACGCACTTGCCTCAAATCAGTCGTTACTGGTACTTCTTGTGATAAAATATTGCAAACTTTGATCTTGATTTCCGTATATGACATTGCATCATTTTTTTAAATTTATTCGTACACTTTGTCTATTTTATCGTCTTTTGGTTTGATGGCCATTAAGTCGTTTGTGAAACACTCCAAGACTTCGGACAGTAAGAAAGTTAGATATGACACGAATGTTGTCTGCGTCGCATCTGTACGTTTTGAGTACAGAAATACAAGAAATTGTTACGTGATATATACGCGTACTACAGAATACCGGAGCCGTTTGGAATTTACTTACTCGTGCAACTTTTTTTGGCGGGAGCCGTTTGGGAATAAACAAACAATGAATAGGAGCCGTTTGGAAGCCAACCGTACAGATATAACTACATTACATTTCCCTTTTACTATCTTCCCAATATCTTACCTACAACAGTGGTCCACTCACGTGCAAAGTATGTCTGTATTTTTTGTTTTAATTCTATTTTTTAATAATTCTTTTATATTGCTAGTATTTTCTCTTTGAAATTCTATATTATTATTATTATTTCTATTGTTATATGACTTGTTTAGGGGAGGGGGTGCAGGGTGTGTGAATTCGCACTAACATTTTTTAAAACGTCTTCTCTGGCCTGCCAAATAAAATAAAGCGCCAATATACCTATGTGTTTTATAGTATCATATATTGGGTTAGCATTTAAGATCACTACGGAGGTGTAAGAAAATGGTGACCAACCCCATATAATCGGCAGAGAAGAAAAAAAATAAGAAGACAGAAGGGGCATGTTTCCACTTGACGGCCCTCCTCAGAAAAGATGGCCATAATTGTGACCTGGTATAATGAATTGAAATGGCCTGCAAACATTTTGACACCTACAATAAAAAAATTGAAATGACACCCCTGGACTTTTGTTGGATAATTTGAATGTGGCCATCCCCGTCATCGAAAATCCTATTAAAATCTTGATGCTCATGTCACTGGAGACCAGTTATTATAAATTTTACTTAAAAATGTCAGATTTGCATACAAACTTTCTAACGGAAAATTATTTATTTTATATTCATAGACCCTGCTTGTAAACGTCGAATATTATTTGTAGCAAAATATGAACATTTTTTTTTAGCTCATTGTAATACACACTACATGGCTTTCTTAGTATAAATTTTTAATTATTTAGTAATGAACTCTACAGTTTATTGCATTTATTAGTAATTTTTTGGGGGGATTTCTAGTGCATTTTGATCTGCTAATATTATAATATTACCAGTGGCGTGTCCAGGAATTTTCAACGGGAGGGGATATAACAAATAAAAATCGTGAACAAAGAGTAAAATCGTATTCTCAACACAACTCGACTATGGGAATCGGTAATTTATAAGCCGGAAACTAAAAAAAAAAAAAAAAAAAAACCAATTTCTAATCAACATATCAAGCTTTTCCTCGGAAATCGGTTGGAATTTATGAGTTTCGATGTTAAATTACTCATATTTTGTTGTATTTTGAAGCCATTGGGGAGGGGGAGAGGTTATAACCCCTGAACCCCTTCCCCCCGCGCACGCCACTGAATATTACGAACTGGACTGTGGCACACCCGTGTGTTGACGCGCGCGTTTGTATTCTAATCTACGAATAAACAAACATCCGCCGCGGCGGCGTGACAAACGCTGCAATCGTGTAGGTACCTCTACTTGAGAAAATAAACGTATTACCCATTATTATAATCTGCGGTTGTTAACCGATAAAAAAAATAACTCTCAAGGGACCGAGCACACTGAATCCGTTCGTTTCAGTTCGGCCGTATGCCGAATGCGACGGATCGGTCGAGATGTTGACTTTCGCCGCAAGTTTACACAGAATCCAATAATATTATATTATTATAATATACGCCCTATAGTACATCCGCATGTGTATGATACTTGATTAAACCGTTGTTTTCCGTCAAGACGTATTCAAACGCTACGCGGTACCCATCCTACACGGTTTGGCGTCCTACCTCAGTCTTCAGTATTTTTTTGCTATGTCGAGGCACGACGGACTGGACTAATGTGGGACAGAAGGTTGGAAAACCGTACCGGACGGACGCAGTGCGCGCTCGGGTCGCTGGAAATTGCGTCCCATTTTAAATTTTGTGAGTAAATTGCGGCCCGGGTATATTTTGTATAATATATATATATATATGTGCCTAAATATTTTGTATTAAAAAAAAAAAAAATACAGAGTAGAGTATTAAAATCGAAATTAGAAAATTACCTCTTTAAAGTACAATTAAGACAACTTGAGCTTTCAGAAACGTTACTGCACGTAAAAATCGGAGCAAGTTTATTAGGAAAAAACGTGTCCACAGACGAGAACAGAGAAAAAAAGAAAAAGAAATAAACAGCAATAGCTGTAAAACCAATAGGTCCCTCGCTACGCACGGAATGTAAAAAGCAAAACTAATATTATTAACCATACCGATATTAATACAATTATATTCAAAGAAAAACGGAAAGGGCAATATTGATTTTGCAAAATAAAGCCTAATATTTACGTATCGATAAAAAAATATTTAAGCATATATTATACGAAATACGCCCGGGCCGCAATTAACGTGTGCGTATGACCGTGGCCTTTATTCGGGGACGCAATTTGCCGACTCCGGCGTGCGCTCGGCATTGCAACGCTGAACAATATTTAATCGAATTCAGCGAGGCGACCTGAACCGAACGGATCCGGCGTGCACTCCGCTTTGCATACGTTCTCCGATGACTGTACGCACGTGTTGCGTTATTAGTATCTTATCTACATTTTTTATACGCGTACGGTAACGCGCGCACGAATGCCAATCAGTGTCAGTGTCGGTGTCGTGTTATTGTTATTGACCGTTATTGTTATTGTTACTGTTATTGCCGGGGCGCGCCATGAAAATCGTCAACGGGCCCGCCGTCCCGCTGACGGCCGGCTGCGCGTCTTTTGCCACGTCCGTCGCGGCCGCGTGCTGTTTCCTCACCGTCTGGTCGTACTGGTACTGGGAGTTGGACGCCCAGTGCGAAGCCGGCCGCGATTGCAAGTGTCTGCTGTTCGGTACGAGTTTCGCGAGCGGCAACTTCGTGGGCGGCGACCAATACGCGTGCAGTTACGTGTACCATTCGACAATCGCCTCATCGGCACTCGCCGCCTGCGCGTCCGTCTACTACGGCACCAAGTGGCTGCTGTGCCCGGACGGTCGGCTTCGCGAGGGACGTCGGCCGGTGCGACGCTCGTCAAACCAACCGCCCGCGACCAAGTAATGTTTATTGCCGGTGTCATAGGTAATAAGGGTCCGCGTCTATCACTGGGAATGGTGCGCGACCCGGTGTTGTTGATTCCGAGCGGAGCGAGTTGGATCTATTGTGGTGGTTTTACAAGGATGTGTTTTTTTTTTTCTTTCTGTCCGTAAACAATTTGTCGAACGCCAGTTAACGCCAGTCGAAAAGCGATAGGAGACGTCTTTCGTTGCGTTCTGGATCTGGTCGGCGCATTATAAAAAGGTCGTTTTTTGATACCACAAAGGGGTTTCGAAATAATTTGGAAAACCCGGAAACAAAACTATAGGGAAAACGGCAATTATTTACGGCTCGAAGTGACTACTCTTCTTTATACAATCTGTTTTTCCCGAGAAAAATTATTAAATACAAAATATTTTATGTATTTAGCAAAACTGATTTTTTTTTTTTTTCCAAAGCTATTCGATTACATTTGTTAAATTGTTGACGACATAAAACAATATTCAATATAAAAATAACTTAAGATTTAATTTCCTAAAAAAAGTTTATCAATAAAAACCTAATTAGAACGACTGATTTAACTAGGATTTATCTTTATATGTTGATGGGTAACGGACATACTGTTATCACTTTTATAATACCTTATAGGAAAACAATGAATTTGATGTTTTTTTTTTTTCTTATATAAACGTACATTTTTTTATAATAATTATGAGCCCTTTAATGATTATTTTGAATATTTTAGATAGGTTTTAGACAGTTACATCGAAAAACATTACACATTTTTATTTAGAAACTGTAAAACAGTGGTTTTACTAACCTGTAAAATAAATTGCTTTTGTTTTTCATTTTTGGTGAACATGTCATTACACTTTTACTTTTATATGAGGTTTACACCTCTTTCCACAGTATCGTTTACTATATATTATAGAACGCGTCAATCGATTTTTTCCAGTTTGGTAAAAAGTATTATTTGACCATTTCCATAAATTTCGTATTTATTCCGGGTCTTTTAAATAAGTTTGGAGATTGTTGATTTATTAAATATGTTGGTAGCACATTAGTCAACAAGTTTTCAATGTTTTCTAATTTGAATATAAATTTATATTGTACGTTCTCTTTGATTTGATTTATTTCTTCGTATTCTTATAAGTTTTTTTTTGCTACCAATTTGTTTTCTTATTTCTGGTGAATTCCATTAGTCAAAAATAGAAAACGCGATGTACTCATTGCTGAAGTACTATAGATAATTTTTAAAAAAAAAACTTCATTTTCAACCCTCTTGCGGCACGGGAAAGGGTAAGTCATATCATGACCACATTTCATACAAATTACTATTACATGAGAAAAATGAAAAATTGGAGGGTCTGCATCAATAATATTATGGTTATATATATTTTTTTTTCTATAACCAAGGACCACCTTTAGCCTTGTTAATAAAATAGAGACTGACTGTGATTTTCTAATTTGTATTTTTAATATACCTACTTATATCTCTCTGAAAAAATAAAATATCGAAAAAATAGCGCCAACGCTGTACAGATGAATGTTTTTAAATCGTTTTTCATCGGCATAAACCATTGCTAACGAAACACGATTATGTTATGATTGTTGCGCAAGTAAATTATTAAACCATTAACTATATTTTGTTATACAATAATATTTTTATTGACTTCATTCTGATCCAAGTCGTACACTTTCTGAAAATTAGTTTCCAAGATACTATACGACGGGTTTTTCCTGTTTTTATGATACAAGACGTTCTACTTTGGGGTCCGTAATAATTAAATTAAAATGAAAAAAAGACGTCCTAGGATAATGAAGTCGAGTGCAGCCATTGTTGTAAGTAATTTAATGTGCATCTGTAAACAATGATAAACAATTGCTAACGAAAAAACGATTCTGAGCGGAGTTCAGTTGATAATGTTGCTCTGTCAACAATATATATGCCATATTATGGTAAAATTTCAATTATTCCAATTCCGAAATTAAATTTTTTTTCGGTTTTTCACATTTGTTGAGAAAACTCCTGAAAAAATCAAAAAACGACCTTTCTGAAGTACCTCTCCAATGAAATTTCCTTTTAGAAAAATTGCTTTCATTATAAGTTGTAGCAAAATTGCTGGTAGAAAAGTTGTCCACAAGAAAAAAAAATATACATTTTTGTAAAAACATAAGTTTCTTCGCTTCACTGAGAATCTAAAATTCAGATTAAACAAACTAATATAAACCATCAACGGCAGCAACTGAATAATAATTACGTATACAGAAAATCGCCCACGTCGAAAACTAATATTTTTATTTTGACACAAACGATGACATAATTATTGTCGCCCGCCATCTGTTTCCCATCTAAATAAGACATTCCATTGATATACGCGGTTTTTATCTTTATCGCGTCACCCCTCTGCTAGTCCGCTCGCAAAATCGCGTTCGCCGAGAACGTTAACCTCAGTGCACGGTATTTCCGCGTTTTAAGCCCGATTCACGATTGTCCGGCACTTACCGACAGACCCTGCATAAGTTACACTATCTAATAGGTAGACAGGTAATTTGTATGGTTTGTACTTTTTACCGTCTATAAACTATATTTCTACTAGATATCTCGTTCCAATCAAAAATGACTAGCGAGCTATTTTTTAGAATGTCTATTCTAGTAGGTGAATTCAGGGATTTTTAATTTTCCAAGTAGTTTTCGTAATAGTCTGGGGGAAAACCCGGAAAATGTACGGTTTCGTTATTTTCGATTTTCTGTTATTGTCATCATTTGGTTAAAATTGATTGTATCGGTCGAGATCGTAGAGGTTTTCATAAAATATTTCTATTAGATTTTTCTAAACGTGGTAAAGTTTTATAAACATTTCTGTGCCTTTTGAGCTATTTTTAGATATTTTAAATGTCTGAGCTGTGGAATATCTCGTAAAGCTGCGTCACAATAAGTTTGTAGCGCTGATGGCGCGGGCGACTGCTACGTGTGCTTGTGCTGTGTCGATTGCGTTATAATAGTGGAGTTGATTCGGTTGCTGGTGCTAAATGCCGACTCAAAAAAAATTGCATTGAATGAATAATGGTGTATCTTAATTTGTTTGTATCGTGGAGTCTTAAACATCCCATGGGCAAATCGTGATCTAATGCGAGAGTGTTTCAAAGAATGCGGAAGAAAAAAAAATTAGTGATGACTGTGAAAACACAAAAATTAGAATACATGGGCCACATAATCAAAGATATGATTTGCTGCAACTCCAAGAGATAATAGAAGGTAAGAGAAGTGTTGGAAGGCGAAGGATATCAAAAAAATCTGGGCAAAAAATCGCCGCAACTCATTTGGCACAACAACAGGTGAACTTTTGAATTTTGTAATATTCAATATGATTTCCAATATCCGAAACGGATAGGATCTTCGAGAAGAATAATATAATTAATTTGTTAGGGTTCACAGGACTCGAATCGGCAAATAATTATCGCAGATGAAGTGTTACAAAATATCATACAAAATGTATCAACATAGTGCCAGCTATGTCTGAAGTCTTGTATGACTATTAAATACGAGTATAATGTACATGTAATTTATAAAAATTATAAAAGAAATATTTTTAAAATACGAAATGTATTTCGTCTGTTCATATTATTACAATTATAATAATAAATAAACAACTTAATATAGGTACAGGTGTAATTTGTATATTGCATATATAAAATGATTTCGATTTTAGATCACGAATTTCCAGTTTAAAAATATGTTTTGTGATTATACTCATCTTAATGGCACTAAATATGTTTGTCGTCTCCATCGTGATAAGCAATGGATACATTTCAACTTGTCGGCAATACGTGCACCAAGTGAAACAATTTTTGATGGTAAGTAATATTTTAAAATTAACGTGTATTTATTTATGTTTCTAATGATAATATAATAGACACAATTAGGTAGAGAAGAATGTACTAGAGAATACTTAGTACACTCAAATATTTATTTAGTCTCCTTCCCAAATAAATTGATTAATTATGCAAATTTTAATTCATCCGCAGATTTAATAAATAAATTAAAAACTTAAAATGTAAATATACCAAGTTAGTTATTAGTTAATAATTTGTATTCGTAATAGTATATTTTAATCGAGTAATTTATGATTTAATGATATACATTATATTATACACGTTTAACCTTCTCCCATATGTAAGGTCTAGTTGTGTCTATAGATACTATTTGACACCCTTTGAATCCCATGAACTTTTAAAATCCCGTGTCTCAAGAAGTCTAGACCGTGATTTAGAATCTAAAATAGGTATACCTCAATAATTACTATTGTCTTTTATCGTCTAATTACTTCTGGTTTGGTCTAGCCAACTACGTGAGAAGTTATACCGTTACAAATCATTATAATTTTGGGAAAATTTACCTAATCCCATAAATCATATTCCGTAATTCGGAACTCGTTAATAATAGATTGATGTCTTACCGAATTTAACTCAGTAAAAATGTTATGTTTAGGTTACTGGAAATATGGAAAGATTGGTGTCAAATCGTTTATCGTGCGGGACAATCTACGATTTTATGGACTACTTGCAACCCCCATCACGACAGGTGACATACGAGTTAATCCATAAACACAAGTCCAACCCACGAGATTCTGTGATCAACACATCAGAATTTTTGATTGTATCCATTATAATGTCATGGCTAAACACGGTTATATGGATTATTTTCGCAGCTTTAACTTATTACTTAAAGTGAATTGTATAATTGTATAGAATCGTATTAACTATTCTAACCCATAATTTAATTTTTTAATTTAATTTTGAGTAGTCCACTACCAATAGTTATCAATAGCATTTACAACTCAAAACATAATACTATGCCACTAAGAGTTTGAATGTTTAGATTAAAAAGAAGAACTCAAAAGTTAAAAATTATATTATATCCTATTAATATTAACATGCAGTATGCACAAAAAATCAATAAAGTATTCTCGGCAATAAATTAAGAAAATGTGCTAAAATAAACTTCAAAAATATACTTTAATATGCCAAATATTTGTTAGAAATTATTATACGAACTAATAAGAAAAGTACTTAGTAACTAGATAACTATATATGATTTAATTTAAAACAAATAATAAATAATATTATCATTTACTTCTTAAGTACTTAAGAACATATTAAAAATATTGATTTGTATAACATCAATTAAGTTAAAAATATTTTATAATATATTTCTACTTTGTATAATTGTATTTATAGATTCGGAGCGTCGCTAGTTTTTTTTTTTTTAAAGATTTAAACATTTTCAAAATCTTTGTTAAAAAACTTAAATTAAATTACGTTAGGGGCGTGCTAAAGTGTAATAATTGTTCTTTTCAGATTCGAAGCGTGCAAAGGGATCTATTGGTTTTATTATGTGTATATTTTTTTTCTGTCTGTAAACAAATTTTCTACCAGAAATATTGCGCATATGTATAGAGTGTAGGACCTGTTTTGGAAGAAAATTTTCTTTAGTTGGTGAATTAAACGGGTCATTACTGGTTTTTCTAATGGGTTTTTAAAATAATTGGAAAAGACCATAAAAGACAAAAAATAATATTCAATTTAGGGCACAACGGTTTCATAATTTTAAATTTTTACAGCTAATGTTTTCTATCATAAATATTGCTCTAATAGAAAAATGGCGAGGTAACAAACCCTTTTTTTTAAATTTTTAATCTAGTTAAAGATGATTAAGTTAGTCGTTTTTTTTTAATTTTCTTAGTAGTTGTTTAAATAATTAAGAAACCTAAGAATACACGTAGGAAAAACGGGCCAATTTACGAAATAATGCTTTTATTATTTTCAACTTTATTTTTTGGTTGTAATTCAGTTTAACATTTTCAAAATATTTGAGCCATTTTTTAGCTATTTATAGATTTATTAACTTTGCGAATTGTTTATGTAATTTTTATTCAGTAGGTACTCTGTGAATAAAATATCGGACCAAATGGAAATGATTGGAAATTTAACTGGAAGTTCATTATAAGTAGTACTTTATGGTCAATAAGTAGCAAAATAGAGCATAATTTGTGTGGCGGCTCAGCGCGGGGCGTTTTAATTAATGCGCCTGCATTACTCTTCGCCGCACCGACCCAAACTTAAAAGTGCCCCCAAATCATAATAATAAATGTGTAATATGGTAAATGTGATCCAGGGAGGGGCGCATTGGATATTTTTCCACCTTTAGGCGATGGCATTACCTGCTTGTGCCCTAGCGATGGGTCTGGCGAAATATATACCTATATATTTATATTGTTATATATTTTAATAAATTATGGATGTGGTACGAAACGTCGACAATCAAAATATCGAAAGGTTCAAAATAATCGACCGCCGAAATAACATGTATTAAATGCCGGTAGTTGTCATAATTTGATAATGTGAGCCGATATGGCAATATTATTACCTCGTTTCATACAATAGGTACAGTAACTAAAGATTAAGATTAAGATCGAATTCCAATGGCACGTATTGTTAAAAATCCGGACGAAACGGTCGAAATTAAAAACATATTAATTATAATACATATAGGTAGTTGTTACTGTGTTAAAACTATTAACTTGGAGTTAATTTAGAATTGCAAAGGTAAGTTCAAGTATTATATTTTTACTTTATACACAATAAATCCCAGTAAAATTGCTAATCGAACTTCTCGATTTTTATAATCGGAATAAAGTAACTTAAGAATAACATTTTCTCCTATTAGGCGGTTCGTGTGTAAAGATCGAATCACTTTTACTGGTATATATCGTGTATACATATGAAGAAAAAAATTAATTAAATTTGACATTTATTTATTTATAAAAATAAATTATGTAGACTGATTAGGCATAGTGGATCGTAAGTAATTTTTTAACCTTTTTAAAGTTGAGAAAGATCTCTCCGCTGTGACTGTAGAAATTAGTGACCTGGTAAAAAAATATTTTGATGTTAGAAAAAAATCCATTGCAGTGTTCTAATGCTTAATCTCTGTGGATTGTTTAAATTTTGGTCCACTTATTTGTCCACGAATTTATTTCTGTTTTCAATTCTAAAACCGAACCCTTAATATCTTCACAATAAAATTTGGCAGATTCATCGAAACATGCCGGGCCTTCTAAAAATACATGTGTGTATTGTGTATACGTATAGTATTCGTTTTAACTATATAAAAACATGCCAAGGGGGGTACTATAGCATCCTAGCACCCCCCCCCCTCTGGATCCGCGCCTGATTCAATATCCTCGCGAGCGCACTTCTTGCGCGAGATATTGCATGAGATGAGGTAAGGCGAGATACTACAAGTACTTACCATCTACACCCTCGTGGGTCAGTTTCACGAGGTTAAGCTAAATCTCGATCAGTCGTTTATTGTACGGGCGTGAAAGACGACTTGCGTGTTATTTAGGAGGAAATAAGGTTATTAATATGGACTTGGTTGTGGTGACTGCTGCAACTGCATTGAGTGCATACAGTTATTACGATTTACTACATGTATTATTTGTATTCCACATAAAGAAAATTGAACAACCTAGGAAGAAAAGATGCCATAAGATTTCTTCCACCTGATAATGCTTTACAAATTTAATTAAAATTTCGTTCGTCCAGTCAGTAATTTTAATTGATTGAGTACAACTTTTACGAGAGGAGAAGAGACGAGATAAGTCGAGTAAGCAAACTACACTCTCGTTTTGACGTTAAGTGTGGAAGTCGCATAAAGCCCACCACACATGACGCTTGTTTTACTGCCTGATTGACTTGCTCGATTTCCTACTTGGTCCCTAGTTAGCTGCTGGATTGGATGTATTGATAACTGCCTTGTGATGACATTACACGCTGGACTTTTACATATTACGTGTGCCCCCGTACAATAGGTTTAATCGATTTAATAATCACATATTTCTTGTTATCACAACGCACGTGTGAACTAAACCTGATAATATCATTTCTAACAAAAATCTAAAAGTTATTTCATCTATCCTAAAAATATTTTTTAAAGTCTCCGGGTTCGTTACTACTAATTTGCGAAGTAAATTAACACGTGAGTATCCATTTATTTCTAGTAACTAATTTTTACACCATTTTCATTTATATTTTCTCTTCTTTTTATCAACATTCAATAAATAAAAAAAATGAATACTTTATGAATTTGTTTAATTTAAATACCTATTACACCTGTATTGGTAGATATTTAATACCTATTTTCACGATTAACTAATTAGGTATGTCAGCGACTCAGTGATCCGCATCACGCTTACGTCATCCGCCAATGATTTGTATATATTTATATTGAATAAAATCGTTGGCGGCTGACGTCACACGTTCATAGAATAATCAAGTTATTACCGTTTCTTTCGTGGCTGCTCGAAATAACACTAGAATCGATTAAGTTGCCGATATACCTAATTAGCTAATGATGTTTATAATAATTAATGATATAATAATTTTATTCTATATCTATTTTATTAGTTTTTTTATCAGTAATTATTTAACCAATTATTAATCATGCTGGAACGGTCTTACCAGATATAAAAAACGACGAGTTATATAACTTGTGGTACGATAAGTTATGTGAATTTGTGCGGTATGTCGCGTCCTGCAAGTCCGTACGACTAGTTCATCCAACGCCGTCGTGCAACCATCCAATTTATAGCCGTTTCACGGATTATAATATCACCTGCGTTTCACCATCTCCACGCATAAAAGGTTCGAATAATAATTGAATGCATATGTTATATAAAAAATACTAATATTTAGAAAATGTCTTACTAACAACCTTGAAACAATTAATGTCTTCATTACTCGGTATGTGGTAAATGTTTTAAATGCTTAATTTAGTTTTGAATAGGTTTTACCTACCTACCTAATAATAGTTAAATTCTCTCCTTTTTCATTTTGATTAGTACCTACTCGTCTAACGTCCACTTTTTGACTTAAAACTTTCGTATTATGTACGTTATCCTTTTATTGGTCATATCTGCTACTTTTATCAATATGTTAATTGGTTAAAAACTTGGCCGTGGTCAAAAATGAGCCATGACCGCTTAACGGGTTTGGCTATCAACTTATATGCAATTGATTTATGGATATAAATCATATGATTTATGGATATAAATCAATTGCATTAGATTGACGCTGATGGTATTATTGATAGATTCGCAAATATTAACAAAAGAAATATAGATCTGGTTTTGTAAATAAAAATGTGCGTTATTCTATCAAATATCACAATTTTTTTTTTGAAGGAGGTTCGCCTCCTTTAATATCGGCCCTCTGAGGTAAAGTCTCAAATACGCCACTGGAACGTCGAAAAATATATAATTGTAGACTTTTCATTTTCGGTCGAATAACTTGTGCCTACTGTTCTACATGCGATTGAAAAACCGGGCCTAAATAATGATCGTGAATCATCGTTTAGTACTATCTGGGAAAAACTAAAAACAATCGCCAGTGGCGTAATATTGGTGAGGGGGCTCTGGAATCTTTGAACATGTTACCAAGTCTTCAAGAAAATAATACATTATATTTTGCATAATACCTACGCAATATTTTACCTGATAATAAATGTATTGCGATTGGACATAGTAATGAACATGGCAGAATGGAATCTACCGATCGATTTAACGAATGCTTTTTATATAGTTAAAAGCAATCAGTCATGCAATAATTATTCATTCGAATATAGTCGATAGTGAAATTGTTCAGTTGTGCACATCACTAGAGAGAAAAAATATATTCAACATAAGAACTTCCACCAGTAGATAAATATTTTCTCCCGTCTCTACGCGCAGTCCATTTATTATCAGATTTATGATATTTTTACTGATAAAACTGATAAGAGAAATTACTTTTGATAAGACAGTCTGGTTTTTATTTCTTCATTGCAATACAATAACAATAATATATAGTACTTTATTTTTCGTTATTATGCTGCCAGTGCTGGTAAAAAGTAAAAAGTAAAAATACAATACCACGATCGTCTGCAGCATGGTTGTAAAATGTAGTTTCTATCTACAACTACCGTGGTCCACACTTCACGGTATTCGTACTGAAGCATTGTTAAGGCATTTAGAACTGGCATTATTTTTTTATAGGTACCTGTTGACTATACAATAACCTATGTATTAAGTTTTAGTTGAGTTTTGAGTTTTAAACTTACTTAATTTTTTTCAGCTGACATTTGTTCAAAACCGTCAACATTGGTAATTGTATTATATCATGTAAGTACTAAGTGATTTTCTTCTATTATTTACTCAACAACAATTTTAAGTTTTTAAATATTATTTGTTTACACTATTATTTTTAAGGTTCATAAAAATAAACTCATCTTTGAAAATTCATGTTTCAAATTGGTATAGATTAATAATTTGTATCTAGATACAAATTACAAAAATATACAGCACATATATACAATATGTATTATCAGTTTCATTCTCAAAGACGAGCAAATTATCCGTTTAATTTATAAACATTATTTAGTTTAATATTGTTAAACATATCATTTGATTATATCTAGGTAATAGGTATATTAAATCATAGCCATAATTATTTTAAACTACAGCCATAGGTCCACAACGCATACCTAGCTACCCATTAAAAGATTAAATCAATAAGCTCCCCTTTTCTCTAATTAATCTGGTAGCTAATGACCTAGTTTACACCACTGCAACTATAATAGCTATTTACCTTACAATAGGTCCCTTACCTATAGCTATTTTGTATTTACACCATTTGTCCTAAATTGATCTCAAGCCTTAGAAATTGAAATAGTATTTATTTATTATCTAATATCATTGATTATAAATAATATTACTTATCATAATTTAGCTATTAGGACATTTTATTCATTTCAGCATGATTACAGCTTATAAACCATTATCTGAATTTGTTTGCACCAATAACATTATTATTGTCACCAATAATTTATTAGTAAGGTAAGCAAATAATATGACCTGACTTGACTAATTACATTATATTATCTTACTTAATAATGGTTAGGTAATGTGATTTATGTGTGCAGTGTAAACTAAGCCAATTGGATGAAAATTTATGTTACTAAAATCATGATTAGGAACAGATAGAGTAATTTTACCTATCATGAAATTTTGTGTAATTTATTGTTTTACTTAAAAAAAGATTTTAGCCAAAATTTGTTAATCATAACATAAGAATTAATATATTTAGCTCTTTGAAAATAAATAATGCTATTCATACCTTTTGTTTTGTCTATACCTATTTGAAGGATTTCTATTTTATTTTTTTCTTCGAGTGTTACGATCTTGTCAACAGGCATCCAACACTTGATAACTACCTATAATATTATATCAATAATTTCAATACATAATATAGCTAAATATTTGTGATAATTGCGCTTGAATGTATACAGTTGTTAGGTTATAAACAGGTAAATGTACAAAAATTCATTTCTATGTACCTTTATATTATATATGTACCTATTACTATAATAAATAATTAATACTAAACTAAATACAGATTACACATTTTTATTCATTAATACTATTTTGTAATTATAGATTGTTCACTGATCACAGACGTTACAATGTCCAAATTACAACAATTAATCAGTTGTTATAAGAAAAATAACACTAACAAATCGGTATAGTATAAAAACCAAATAATTTGCAATTGTTAATTTTATATTTATACTTGTATTTCTTTTTTTTTGCATTACTAATTTGTTACTCGCGTAAAGACATCTGATGAAGAAACATTCATTGGTGCAATTGATGAAGGAACTAGCAGTACACGGTTTGTGGTATGATCATTAATATAATTACATTTATATGATAGACTATAGTTGGGTAAATAATAATGTAAATTGTTTTTATTTAATAGGTGTTTTCAACAAAAACAAACAAGCTCATAGCAAGTCATCAAATAAACACTACTAATATATGCTTGAATGAAGGATGGGTAGAACAAGACCCAGAAGATATTCTGCTTAAAGTTAAAGAAACCATAGCTGTTACATGTGAAAAACTCCAAGAAATGGATATACCCATTTCTAAAATAATAACCATTGGTGTCACAAACCAACGAGAAACAACTTTGGTGTGGGACAAATTTACAGGAAAACCATTATACAATGCTATAAGTTAGATTATTATATTGTAAATTTAATACCTTGTATCTTATTATCTTGCATTTCAATTAAAAAATTAATATTATAAATTTGTTTTAAAAAAATTAGTATGGATGGATATACGGACACAATCTATAGTTGAAAGATACCTCAACAAAAAGATTCCCAACTGTCATACATTGGAATTGAGAAAGAGGTAATATCATATACGAGGGCTAATCAAAAAGTATCAAGACTGGTAGTATCATTCGGAAAAGGAGCATTGAAGAGCAGTAGGATTGGTATCACTTGCTTCTATGACTTTTTCTGAGTACATTTGTTTTTATTGCTTCTCTATAAAATTCTTCGGTTCGATTTCACTGATATTTTTGTAAAATAAATTTTTCGAGTTTGGCGATTTTGTAATAAACCCAAAAGAATAGTAACTTGACAGATTTGGAGAATTTAGAAAATTTGTCTGCATTTTTTTCCAGTTTCAGAGGGATGCGACATTTCATGGTTTTCGCCATTAACATTTCATGGTTTTCGCCATTAAATGTCAATTGAAAAACTGAAAATGTGCCCTCGGTTGGCAGCGAGTTCCGCTTCTTTTGGATTCATTACGAAATCGCCAAACGTGAGAAACAAATTTTAGAAAAATATCGTCAAATCAAAACGAAGAAGTTTATAGAGATTTTATACGAATAGATGTGCTCAGTATAAGTCATAGAAGCTAGGTTTACAAATCGTTTTGTTCTTCAACGCTCGGTTTCCGAGTAATATTATCAGTCTCGATACTTTTTGATTAGCCCTTGTAAAATAAACTATTGAACTTATTATTTTTGTAGTTAGGGCTATTAAGGAATAGATTTTATTATAGGTTGTATTTTCATAGTTGTGTTTTAGCGATATATTTCACATTTGCATGTTATACAGTTATGCATATTTCTATTTTCTTGTCTTATTCATTCTGCATTATAATTATTATTAACAGTGGTTTAAAATAAATTTGAATTTGTGAAATCCCATACATTTTTATGAATATTACAGACAGTCAACTAATTCTGGCAAACTGTTTCAAGTAATTAATGATGTAGCCAAAAGTTTTTATAAACCATTTACTAATGTTTTACAATGAAAACACAATTCTTGTTTTTTTTTTTTTTTTTTTTTAAAGATATTTTATTTTTATTTGAAATCGTAATAATGTAATGTAATATTTTGCATATATTTATAATAGAGTAGCACTAATTATTGTTTTATACATTTTTTTTTTTTTTCATAGGCATTTGCAAGTCAAATGTGGATTGACTATGAATCCATACTTCAGCGTATTTAAATTGATTTGGTTACTGGAAAATGTAACTGAAGTTTCTGAAGCAGTGAAACAAAAAAGATGTATGTTTGGAACCATGGATTCTTGGCTAATTTGGGTAATATTTTAATATACAAGTGTTAAGTATAAATACTAGTTAAATATGCTTTGTGTATTTGTTTGTAAACCAAATTTATTTGTATCTGATCCACTGTCTTAATTAACATATATATTTATTTTTAATAATATTATAAAAATAATTATGAATTAATATTTTTATAACAACTAGTTTTAATTTTACAATAAAGTAACTCACATTTTAGACCAGTGGTCGGCAACCGGCGGCCCGCGGGCCGGATGCGGCCCGCGAGTCTATTAAATACGGCCCGCGAGTTTATTAAATACGGCCCGCGAGTTTATTAAATACGGCCCGCTTTAGATTCTATAACAACGAAATTTAATTTAATATCATATCAAAAAAATCATATTGTATAAATAGAATTGAACGTTGGGTCATGCATATTTTCATAATGGAAATATTTTATCTGCTGTAAAAGCTTACTCTTTGTGTTTGAAAAAAAAATGCAATGACCCACTTGTATTGAATAATATGGGTTTAATACATTTAAATCACTTTCATAATGCAGCAGCTGCTGAACAATTTTTTAAATTATGTATTGACTTAGATAAAATGAACCCTTTATATCAGTGGTCGGCAACTGGCGGCCCGCGAGTCTATTAAATACGGCCCGCTTTAGATTCT